AAAAAAAAAAAAAAAAAAAAAAAAAAAAAAAAAAGTTGGTCTGTAGTGGTACACGCCTTTAATTCCAGCACTTTGGAGACACAGGCAGTGCGTCTCTGTGAGTTCAAGGCCAGCCTGGTCTACAGAACGAGTTCCAGGATGGCCCAGGCTACAGAGAAACCCTGTCTCGAAAAACCACACACACACACACACACACACAAATTTACAATAAAAAATTAAGGGCACATATGACTTTAAGTTACCCCTTTTATTTCTACCAACAGAAAGTACAAGCCCCAGCAAGGAGCCAGCGGGCTATTCCAGAGAGGTCACAGCAGGCGCTCTTTCTCTGAGACAAAAGGTTTTTTATCTCATTTTATTTATTTATTTATTTATTTATTTAAGATTTATTTATTTTGTACACAGAGGAGGGCGCCAGATCTCATTACAGATGGTTGTGAGCCACCATGTGGGTGCTGGGAATTGAACTCAGGAACTCTGGAAGAGCAGTCAGTGTTCTTAACCTCTGAGCCATCTCTCCAGCCCTTATTTTTGGTCTTTTGAGACAGGGTTTTTAGCCCTGGCTGTCCTAGAACTCATTTTGTAGACCAATCTGGCCTCAAACTTGGAGATCTGCCACTTGAGTACTGGGATTAAAGGCATGCAGCACCACCACCAGGAGACAAAATGTTTTTAAAAGCTGCTGTTTGTTAAAGCTCAAATACAAATTTTTATGGGCAAAGAATTTCAACAGCACAAACATGAGGAAGCATTTGGTAAAGCTACAACACAGCCAGAAAGGCATTAAAATTTGTCACCAGATTGGGGCTGGAGGGATGGCTCAGTGGTTAAGAGCACTGGTTACTCTTCCAGAAGACTTAAGTTCAATTCCCAGGTATCATCACAGGGCAGCTCACAACCTGTAACTCCAGTTCTAGTGGACTGGATGCCCTCTTCTGGCCTGCTAGGGCACCACACATATTATGCTGCCCAGACATACATGCAGGCAAAACACCCACATACATAGACAATAAAATAAAGGTTAAAAAAATTGTCCCCAGACCCAGGGAAACTACACAAGAGCTAAAGTAAATCAGAAATAAAATTCAAAATAAGCACAGAGCAAACGCCTGGCTCCAGAACTAGGAGTTCAAAGCTGTTTCTGGGCTTTACCATAAAGGGCTGAAACAGGGACACAGCGGCTCACTGAGGGCTGCCCTAAGCGAGCTATTTTGTGCCCTGCTCAGGATTTGCAGCTCTCTTTAGCCTTAAGTATGAGCCTCTAGCTAGTTAAAAGTTCTTAAACACTAACCTGATGACTTCTTAGGGTGAGTGCAAGGTATTTAGGGGATGTTTCTACCATCAATTGGCTGCAAGAGGCAGGTCAGAACTTCAGATCTGAGCAATCTCAGCAAATCCCTCTACTGAAATGTGGGTTGTGACTTCAACTTACTTGAATGGATGGCCTTCTTCTGACTTCTGCACAGCTTGAATGACAGACTTGTAGACTCTGAAGCTGATGGTGACGGAGAGAAGAGCCAGGATGAGGTAAGAGACCACACTGATAACACTGAATGCTGCCAGGGAGAGCAGCATGATCAGCGTGGTGCCAAAGACAAACCCAGTCTTCTTCACATCTCGCCAGAAAATCAGATCACGTACTGCCAAGAGAGAGGGAGTAGAAGTTAGAAAAACCAGGACCACCCCACCTGTGCTGTACATGCAGCAGAGCAGAGCGCTCACCAGCACATATATGCACCTATGTGCCTACTTCAGAGATGAGAGACTAGGCATTTATGGCTACTGGGTCCAGTGGGGTAAAGTGTCAAACTTTTTTTTGGCAGAAAAGCTAATAGAAGTGGTCAACGCAGTGACTCTATGGCAGACTGCCTGTTTACCAAGTGAGGTCCTAAGTTCTACAGGGTAGGGGTGGTAAGGACAAAGCAGACAGAAACATCTTGACAGGTGTTGACTACATGAAGTAAACAAGTCAGTGTCAGGATGTTGAGACAGGAGGATCACTAGAGACCAGAGTTCACCAGAATAGACAACACAGCAAGACCCCATCTTAATCAGTCCATTAAATGAAGTAGACAATGCTTCTAAAATGGTTAGATCCCAGACCCAAAGCCACATACTAAGTGAGATGTACAAGTTGGGGTAAGAGAGAAAATGGTGATAAAAACAGACCATCTCTAATTGAAATGAAACACCAGTCTTTGTCTTAATCTGAAAACAGAAGGGTTGTAAGTAGGAGACGATGTACTTACCCAAACCATGTGTGTACATGCATAGGATTGGGAATCCAGGGCCTTATGCATGCTGAGTAAAAGTACTACTTTCCTACTGAGTTACAGATTTGTGTCCCTTTAAGGCATTGTTTTTAAAATAACTTTTAATTGATACATATGAGTGTGGTACAGATGTGTGGAGGCCAGAGGAGAGGCGCCAGTGTCATTTTTGAAACAGGGTTTCTCTGTGTAGACCTGGCTGTCCTGGAACTCACAGAAACCCACCTGCCTTTACCTCCCGAGTGCTGGGATTAAAGGCAAACAAGCCAGGCAGTGGTGGCACACGCCTTTAATCCCAGCACTCAGGAGTCAGAGGCAGGTGGATCTGAGTTAGAGACCAGCCTGGTCTACAAAATGAGTTCTGGACAGCCAGGACTGTTACAAAGAGAAACCTTGTCTCAAAAAACAAAACAAAAAAACCAAACAACAACAAAAAACAAAATGACAACAAAAAACAGGGTCCCTCACTGTTCTGGAGCTTGCTAATCAGGTTATGCTGAGACCCAGGATCCACCTGTCTCTCCTCTCCTTCCCCAGCACTGGGATTATAAACAGCACTGCTACACCCCAGCACCCTCCTCCTCTCCTTCTTACCCTAATGTGGATTCTAGGGATTAAACTCAGGCCCAGCACTTTACTGACTGAGCCATCTAGCTCTTTAGTATTCTGGCACCTTTTAATTTTTGGTTTTGCTATTTTGGGTTATTTTTTGTACCCCAATCTTGAGCCCCTGAACTCCTAAGAGCTGGGATTGAATGCCTGTGACACACACCTGGCCATACTTTTTTTTTTCCTTGAGACAGGGTCTTGCTAAATTGCCTAGTCTGGCCTTATAAAGATGGATGAGGCATCCAGAGTTGGACAGATCGGAGTCTTAGTAATTTCTACCAGTGTTATTTTAACCTTTATTTTATTTTATTTTTTTCTGAGACAGGGTTTCTCTGTGTAGCTTTAGAGCCTGTCCTGGAACTTGCTCTGTAGACTAGGCTGGCCTCGAACTCACAGAGATCTGTCTGGATCTGCCTCCCGAGTGCTGGGATTAAAGGTGTGCGCCACCACCGCCTGACTTGTCTGCCTTCTAAGCCATCCTTCACTGTAAAGTGAAGAAAACGGAATCTTCTCCCCAAAGCTGTTCCCAGGAGAACATAAGGCCAGTGCAGGTAGAATGCATTATGACCTACGTGGAATAACTTCACTCACTTTACTGGGAAGGGGAGGCTCTGTGATTCCTGGAGGGCACAGTTGCAGTAGTTTCACAAATCAGGGAGAAAATGGGTGCTGCTCAGGTGCACATGACTGAAGTAAGACTATACAAGAAAAATGAACAGAGCCAGACATACTTAAGAAAGCTAGTACTAAGTAGGATAATTCCTACAGTCAGAGTTCAGGCACACACAAATGTTAAACTTTACATGTCTGTTAAGTGTAGCTTCAACACAAAATGCAGAGAGGCTCCATGTCACCACCAGCAGAACAACCAGATGACACATGCTCCTGGATATGACACATCAGAGAAGGACACGATACTGCTTCTGTAGAATTCTAGCCTCAAATACATAGCTTGTATTTAAAGAGAAAATAACCAGACAAATGCAACTGGAGAAATCTTCTACAAAATAACTCATCGATGTTCTTAAAAACTAGTGTAAAATATAAACAACAGGGGGCTGGAGGTTAAAAGCATGGCTGCTTGATCTTCCAGAGGACCCGAGTTCAGTTCCCAGAATTCACAGGGTAGCTCACAATTGCCTGGAACTGAAGTTCCAGGGGATCTAATGCCCTCTCCTGGCCTCAATGGGCACCAGGCACAGACACGGTGCACATATATACATGCAGGCAAAGCACTCATATAAATAAAATAATATATAAAAGTTTTTACAAAGAAAGAAAAACAAATAGACTTCCACGCTGCACAAGTTGGAAACGGCCACTGTGTCCTCATGGACTTTACTGCCATCTGCTGGAAAGCTGTCATACAAGGTAGTCAGACCTACAACGATTACACATGTGACTAGTGCCACCTACAGTTATGCAGAATATAAAGTGCACAGCAGTACAGAGAGGCCCTGGGTTCAGCTTTAAAATAATCATTGGAGTTAGGGTCTAGGTCAAGAGGATTTACTGATGGAAAGACAGAACAGCAGATAAAGGACATCAATACATGATTTTATACATCAAACCTCACAGCGTGTTCCTTTGCTTCATTCAGGCCCCAGCCTGCGGTCATTTCCTGCCCTACGCACTGTATGCCCTTACAGCTTTATTTCTCCTCAAACAGGCTCTTCAAATCTATGACAGGCCCAGCTCATAACCAAGGGCCAGTGTGACCACCACTGCCATTCACTTCCTGATCTTGGCCCTCACATGGGAATATGCCAAGTGGAGACTAAGCTTTCTCAGCACAGCACCAAGGGGACTGGCAAGACCTTTTGAAACTCTCACCTCTCTGAATCTCTGGTAGTTAGGAGGAAGAAAAATATGAGGAAAGATGTGAGAAACAGGGCAGCTGTTACGGTTTAATATGTGAAGCCGTTAGACTGGGTGCTCAGGTTACGACCAGGAGACCAGCAAGCACCTGCAGTGGTTTTGTTTCCATAAATGTATTTTTATTTTTATCCATTTGTTCCCACTGCTTTAAAATAGAAAATTAGCTATGTACGGTGGTGTACACCTGCAATCCCAGTCCTTGAGGGTGAAAGCAGAAGGGTCAGGAGTTCAAGGTTATTTCCACATCCTGAGCCAGCTGAAATTAGAGGCACACACAAATTACCTGGAATATGTGGTGCTAAGGATCAAACTAGGGACTTCCTGTGTGCTAGGCAAGCACTCGATCAACTGAGCTACATCTCCCCTTCCCACATTTCTCACTTTTTATTTTTGAGGCTGGCCTTGGGTTTCTGAGCATCTTGCTGACCCAGCTTCTTGAATAGCTGTGATTACAAGGCCTGTGCCACCAGGTATATCTCTTTCAAGGGATGGGAAAGGAGACCAGAGGGGGTAACAGGGTGTGAATCTGACCAATTACATATACATTACATATATGAGTGAAATGTCACAAAGGAATTCATTACATATAATGAATTACATATACATTACATATACGAGTGAAATGTCACAAAGGAATTCATTACATATAATGAATTACATTACATACACATTACATATATGAGTGAAATGTCACAAAGGAATTCATCATTTGCCTTTCTTTAGCTGATAATGTACAAACAGATTCTGAAGCACATGGGTTTGCAACCTTTGCCATCGATTAGCTGGGTAATCGATGGTAATTTGGGACAAGATGCAGAACTTCTGTATGTTGGGTTCTCACTGTAAAATACAGTAACGTCCTTATAGGGATGCTGCAGGACTGAATGGGTGAATGTGGAAACACCAGCGCACTGCTGAGCAGGTAGCTAGTGCCTAATGTTAGCTACGATTACTTAATGGGCTGCCAGTCTCAGCACACTTACGATGGAAAACTGATGAGCAAAAGTTTGCTACAGAGCAATAAAGATTTGTTTCCTTTTTTGTACTGTTGCTAACAGGCTATAAAATTAATATTGAGGGGTTGGAAAGGAATTTTTAACTAAGTATCTTTAAAAAAACTTATACTTAGAGCTAGGCGTGGTGGTGCACGTTGTTAATCCCAGCACTTGGGAGGCAGAGGCAGGCAGATCTGAGTTCATGGTAAGCCTGGTCTTCAGAGTGAGTTCCAGGGCTACACAGAGAAACCTTGTCTTGAAAAACAAAACAAAACAACAAATTTTATTTAAAGTTTTTTTTTTTCCATGTGTAATCTGTGCTATGTACTGTTGGTGTGTGCAGTTTCCATGGAAGCCAGAAGACAACACTGGATCTCATGGGAACTGTAGTTACAGATGGTTGTGAGCTGCCATGTGGGTGCTGGGAATCAAACCCCTGTCCTCTGGAAGAGCAGCCAGTGCTCTTAACTACTGAGCCATCTCTAGTCTCATTAGTTATTTTTCTATGTTTCTGATGCAGAGCCTCTGTCCTGAGAATATTTATGTTGCTGGTGAATTATAAGCGATTCCTCCCTACTTCCCAAGTCTTCTATAATATGGCTGTGATGGCCATTCTTGTTGTCAGTTTGACTACATCAACTTAAAATCCAAGTAGCTGGGTACACTTATGAAAGATTTTTTCATTTGAAGTGGGAAGACTCACTTTTAATATGGATTTTTTGAGATGGGAAGATCTACCTTTAATCTGGGCCACATGTTCTGTTAGCAGCCTATATAAAGGACATGGAAGAAAAAAATACTTTAGATCTTTGTCTGTTCTCCCTCTCGCTGGCAAGCCTATTCCTTCACTGACATTAAAACTTACTTTTTTGAGATTCTGATGGACTC